ATCTTTATTTAAGTTAGTTTATTAAAAAGAGATTTTTTAGGAGGTATTTAGTACTTACTTAGTTATATATTTTCCTAGTATAACTAGGTTTTTTAATAACTAAGAGGTTTATAAGTTAGTATAAAATAGTAAAATATTTATAGCTTTTATATAAAGCTATATATATAGGTCTAAATACTCTCTTATATTCTTAATAATTCTTTTTACTATCTAGATATTTAATTTTATTTAATATAAATTAATTATATTACTACTATCTAGTTTAAACCTTTTTTACTAGTTTATTATTTTATAAAGTAGCCTATTACTATTAAATTCTATAAATATAAAGGTATATATATTATTATAAAGGCTTTATAGTAGAGAATAAGTAACTTTATAATTTAGATTTTACTAAAGCTATATATATATATACTATATATTAGTAATTTAGCCTAGTTATACTAGCCTTAGTATACTATTTCTAAAAGCTAATTTTATTAAGGTAAAAGGCTATCTTTATTATATTTTAGTAAAAAAATATTTTAAAGGTATAGATTAAAATAGTTATACTACTACTTACTATAGTCTTCCTATTAGCTATTATAAATTTAATAAAAGAAGTAAGGCTATAATAAATAATATAAAGTAATATAGTATAAAGGTAAAATATAATAATAAAGTAGTAAAATAAGATAAGTAATAATAAGAAGCTAAATAATTAATATAGGATAAAAGCTAGGTATAAGTATAGGTTATCTATTAAGGTTACCTCTCTTTATAAAAGGAAATAGGTAATAAGATATATACCCTTAGGTATATACTTAGATATATACTAATAAGGTAATCCTATATTCTACCTATTTATCTACTATATAAAGCACTTGTCCTATAATAAATACTTTATACTTATATAAGCTACCTTTAAGAAGATTAGGTATAGTAGTTACTAGTAATATAACTATTAATTAATAATCATACTACTATAACTACTAGTATAAGCTTATCTTTCCTAGAATATAAGTATTATATTAACTTTATTATAATTAAAGAAAATATACCTAAAGTAATAGACTTATATAAAGAGACTATATAATAACTAGTGTAGTAAATAATTAATATAACTACTATAGCCTAGGCTACTACTATAGCTACCTAGGAGGTTATATAAGAATTAGTAAATAAATAAAGAGGTATAGTAAAGCACTTTTATATTAGTAATAAAGTATAGTTATCTATATAAAACTATTACTTTTTTTAACTAAATTAAAAGCTTAACTAGCTACACTATAAGTATTAGGTTACTAAGGTTATTACCCTCTTAGTAGTAAAGTTAAATATACTAAGTAATATCTATAACTATTTCTATATTAACTTACTATACTATATAGATAATAACTTTTTACTAAAGTAGTATATTACTAATATATAACCTCTACTAGTTATTAAAGAAAAAGGAAAAAAATAGTAAGTAGCTAAGATCTTAGGCACTAAGTAGTATAAGAAATATAAAACAAGAAAGTAATAGGCGTTAGTATACTAAGAGAAGTATATAAAGCCTACTTAAGAACTTATTAAGTTAATAAGAGACACTATAGCCTTTAATAACTATAAAAATAAATATAGTAAGATTAATAAGTATAATAAAAGTATAAACTATATATAAAAAAAATAAAAAAGATATAAGATAAATAATTCTTTATTTAGCCTTAGTAAATAAGTAAAGCTAGAATTTTATAAAGCCTATAATAATAGTAAAGTAAAAAGACACTAAAGTACTATAAAGGTATAAGAGAAGACTACCTTACTAGTAGTCTCCTAAATTAAAGAATATAAGGTAAATGCCTTAGGTATAAATAAAGTTAATAAACTATACTAGCAAGTAACTAATTAGTACTATATTTATAAAATAATAAAATATAGTACTTATAGTAGCTAAAGAGCTAGTAATACTTTCTTAGGCTATAATAAACTACTTAGCTTAAGTAGTTATAAAACTACCTAGGCTAGGCTTATTAAATAAAAAAATAACTATATTAGTAGTAGTAGTAGTAGTAGTAGTAGTAGCTAGTATAAAGAAAAAAAGTATAGCTATAGGCTATACTATAAGTATATTAGGCTATACTTTAATTTAGTTTACTTATATAAGTGTATACTCTTAGTGCTTTTTTAAGCTATATAAGTAGCCTATTACTTAGTATATATAAAGACTAACTAGGCCTTAGTAGTAGTAGTATAAATACCTTAAAAGGCTAAGTCTTTTATAAGACTATTAGTAATAGTAGTAATAGTAGTATTTATAGCCTTATAAAGGCTTATTAAAGTAATAAGTATTTAAGAGAAAAGATTAGTATATAAAAAAAGTAATAAATATAAGAAATAAAGAAGTTATATTCTCTAAGTAAAGTTAGTTACTTAATATATAAGAAGTATAGTAAGTACTACTAAACACTATATTCTTAGTATAATAAAGTACTATAAGGTCTTTTACTAAGTAGTTAGTATATAACTAGTAAAAAGAACACTAAATAGTACTTACTAAAAGGTAAACCTTTTTTACTATAAGTAGTATAAAGGAAAAGAACTATCTTAATATTAGCTATAAATTTATTATAATATAAGTATAAGCTAGACTTATAGACTAGTATAAAAGGGGTATACTTAAGGTTAATAGTAATAATAAGGTCTTAGAGATAAACTACTTTTTACTCTTAGATAAAAAGCTCTAGCTAAAAGTAAAAGGCTATAATATAATAAGTTAGTAATAAATTAATAGTAGGTCTATATATATATATACTTATAAAGATAACTTACTAGTATCTTCTATTTTAATTATCTTTAATTAATAAAAACTATATTAGTAAAATAATTACTTTATAATAATAATATATAATAGTAAAAAGAATACTTATAATATTAATAAAAAGGCCTAGAGAAGAAGAAGAAAAAAGGAAAACAGTAAGTAGTCTATAGTAAGTAATAACTATAGGTTAGATTTCTATAATTATATATAACAGAGGGCTAGTAGGGCCTTAGAAGCCTTATTCTTCTAACTACTAGTAAAGAGGGGGTATATATTATAGGCTAAAGCTACAGTAAGTGTAGTAAGGCTTTACTTACTATAATATATAAGCTAGTAAAGGGAGTACGCTTAGTTAGCATATAGTTAGTGCCCCTATTTAACCTTATATATACAACGTATACACTAGTGTAAATAACCTTCCCTCCTTAGTCTAGATTAATTCTATTAAGTTACTATACACCTATTAAAAGGTAGTACTAACCTCTTATAATATATAATCTTATATTTCTTAAAATTAAATTATACTTAGGGTTAAGGTTTAGGTTTAGACTTTATTTTAGGGTTTATTTTTATATCTAAATTTTTTATACTATTTATTACTATTCTATATTATATTTTAGTATTTTATTTAAAGCTTTAGTAAGTAATATATACGATATACTTTATATACTAAACTATAGTATTTTACTACTATTAGTATTAATCTTATAGTATTTATTTATTATTTTAGTACTGTTTTATAATTAATAATACTATATATTTAATAAAGAATTATTTTAAAATATATAAAAGTATTTTCTTTATATACTAGTTAACTAGTACTATTTTTAAGAAAATACACTAGTTCTATATATAGTAAGTAGTAACCTATCTAAGTATAATTTCTTTATATTTGATATAATTTACCTAAATATTATGTATTTTTATAATAAAATATAAATATAAATATATATATTTATATTTTATTTATATTCTTATAAGAAGAATACAAAATATAAAAATATAAATATATATATTTATATTTTTGTATTTTATATTTTCTAAATACACTAATACTAACTAATAAACATCCTAAGAAAACTATTTATCTTAAGATACCTATAATATTAGGCACTTAAGCCTTTAATTTTTATTTAGTTCTATAAATTAGCTTTTTTTAATTTATAATAGGTTATAGTTAATAACTAATAATAATGATTTTCTTAATTAAGTCTAAGGTCTTTTATATAAGTAGGTAGGCGTAGGTGTCTAGGTTTATTTATATTTGCTTCTCTAGCTAGCACTTACCTCTAATTAAACATGTGTGTGTAGTGTGTGCTATCTTATCTGCGCCTGGTGCAACTTACAACAATCAGAAAACTGCTGAGATTTGTTTCCTTTGTAATTGATTTGTCAAATATGTAGTAAGCATCCGCTAGCCTGCTGAGCTCGACCACCCGGCCTGCCCCCCTTCGTGAAGATCAAGAATGACATAATTCGACCAGACGGGCAGGTCATTGGTCTCTTTTGTTGATCCAAATAAAGTAGGTTCTCCAGGAACTTGGATTTCGCATGGCAGTTGGCTGACGAAGAGGATTTAGACGGAACGGGTGGGTTACATTGTGTTACATCGGCCGAGAAACCCATGTTCTTTCTACATCAGTAGCTGCGTGCATGTTGACCTACTTGAAACAATGGCCTCAATCTGGAGTCAAATGAACCAGAGTCACGTCACGCCATCCCCTGAGCATCGCGATAAGCCTGCACATTCACTCTGCCCGCTCCCCGAAACCCCGCGCGGGCTCAGGTACACGTTTGGAGGCAGGGAGAGGAGAAAAAATAAACACTTGACTGCAGGGCTGTTTCGCTGCAAATTTCCCTTTGGAGAGGTAGCGAGTCTGTGTCGGCGATCCCATAACCAGCTCCCCTGCGCCAACCGTCCGATGATCCGAATCTCACATACGCATTGGCTCCACTCCAAGACAACCAAGGTTTGATCGTTGACTGAAAACGTCTAATCTCACAATGCGCTGATCTGCCGCCGCGCCGCGCGCTCTTCTTAAGTCCCGCCGACCCCTCAAGCACCATCTTGCAAACTGTTTTGCTCCTTGTGTTCGTGACATCGGGCCTTCAATTCTATCATCCCGCAATCTTCGAGTTGATCTCGAACAACCATAGCGCTTATACCCCGCGACGGAGAGACCATCTACACATACAACCAATTCGTTACATGCACAAAATGAAGGCAACAATCGCCTACGCCATTGCCGCGACCCTGTTCGGAGCTACGCAAGCAGCAGTCACTCCCGTGAACAACATCATCCGCCACGAGTACAACATGAACGCAAGAGCTGGTGTTCATGGCAACATCGAACGTGACGAGGTCGACTACAAACCCGCAGCCGACATCCTGCAACCTGTGGTTTAACGGTTTAACCTACATCAACGTTAACCGCGGCATTCAGCAACCTGCAACTGACTAAGGACAAGTCGACCGTTGGTCACACGCGGCTTGGAGTCGGACGGTGAAGCATCTGGCATCACCCGGTTGCGCCATTATACTATTCAACTTCAAATCCGGCATGTCTTGAGACATGCAAACTAGGGAATAGCGATAAGGAGTTCTGGGGGGGGTGGAGATGGCAGTATGGCGTGTTTGGATCTGGTTTCAATTTACTCAGGAAATGGAAAAAGAGGGCGGGCATAGTGGAAGACCCGAGAGTCTGAACAGACCATGGTTCACGTGGCAAACAAGCTAGTGATTTGGCACATCAACGTAAAACTTGGAAAACTTCCAACACTTGTTCAAGTTGAATGCCATTTCGCTTCATGTGGATGTTTGCCCAGCGCGAAGCACTCCAATCAGACTGATGTATTGTTCGGTTCCTCGCTACTAGCAAGCGGATTATGCTACCTCTCGTAATCCCACAGGTAATTCCAGACCTTGTTGCCATCAACAATGAGATCGTATTCCACCCTCAAATGATTGGGCGTTGCAGTATCGAACGAGCTCTTTCCAAACTTCGAATGCCCCCATGGATGAGAATAGACAGACACGTCTGTTTCCTCGATCTGCCGGTGAAACCTATCGAATGGCTCAAAGAACTGATTCAAGGGAGATGTGGAAAATTCGATGATCGACTTTCCACCCTTGTCATTGGGCGGCGGAAAGACTGTTGTAGCATGTTCATGGCGGTCCTTAAAAGAAACTTGATTACTAGCTGCCAATATGTATCTCATCAATTTCAATAAATCAGAGACACTCACCCCGCTAAGAATAATAACTCCGTCCGTCTGTCTCATCATGTCCAAGACAATGTCTCGCTTCCACAGGTATCCAGACCAGCTGTCGGCCGCATCTGGACCCCTCCAATTCCGTGTAAAGGGCACACTGCTCACGACTACCTTCCAAGACTTCTCAGTCTCAAGCCACTTTTGTAGGTTGGCAAGCTGGGCGCTGCCAAGCATAGTCTTTTTGGGGCCGTCTTCCAAGGACTCGGAAGACCGATAGCGTCGCGTGTCCAGGACGAAAAATGAAATGTGTCCTCGTCGAAATGTGTATTATGTAGCGCCCGCTCCATATCGGGAAGGAGGGTTGGCATGTCCATGGTAAGCCCAAAATGGTTTCATTGCAAACTGGTACAGGCCCGTCTCGTTTTCAGCCCAATCGTTAATGATCTCGTGGTCGTCATAGACGTGCGGCCATGGTAAAGAACGCAGTGCAGGCGACCATCTTGGTGAGGCGTATACTTGCCGGTATGCATTGGTGTAATGCTTCGGCGTCCAACCAAGAGCTACCGGCAGGTCGATGTAGATAAAGTCACCGAGAAAAAGCATCATATCGACCGGGTTTGCCAAGAGGTACTGATCAAGATGCTCTAAGCCCCTGATCTGCAGACCATGGCTCAGAGGATTGTATGGATTAAATGGCTTGATGCAGCTGGTTGAGATGAGACTCCAATGCTTTGGTGATGCTTCCGCGGTTTTGAAAGTCCCTGAGTGGCTGACGTTGGTGGTGTAGGTGTATTGCGTGCCTGGATGCAGGCCATCAAGCAGAAATGTTCCCACAAAGTCGCTCGGGGCATCGAGAGGAATTATCTGCGATTTCATCTGGGCTTTCCGAGACCCAGAAGGGCTCCATGAGATCTCAACGTAAGTGATAGAAGAGCTGCTGTGGCGTGCGACGATTCTTGCCGTGGTTTCGTCGACATATCCAACTCGGGAGAACGACAGGTCGATGCTTTGATGAAGCAAATGTCCCCTGTAGAGGAAGTCCCACACAGAGACCAGTGACAGGAAGTTTAGAACAACGGTAATGAAGCTTGCGATCGGTGAAGCTCGTTCAGTCCAACCAAAAAGTAGCAGTAAAGCGTGACGATGTTTCTTCGACAACACGGTGGATTCTGATGGCAGAATAGCTTTTACAAAGAGGCAGGACAAGTACAACGCTGCGTTTCCATAGATACGGTCCAAATACCGCCTTCCAAGAGGGTGCTAATGAAAGGTCAGGAAACAATGGGAATCTGCCCGACTACGAGACTTACGAATCTGGTAAACAGTATGGCGGTGGCCCTCAGAGTTAGAGTTGCAACCGCCAAAATGGCATCCAAGATGCCATGAAGCGCCATGTTAGAAGACTTTATGACACGGCATTAGGAAAGAAGATGGTTGGTACTTGAGGCAATGCTATAGCGGCATGAGGTCTGAATTGCTGCTTCACTCCGAGAACCGGACAGACATGGCCACTTGTGCCGGATGGATTTGAGGCTCAAAAACAGCAACACAACATATTCGAGAAGCCTCCAATGGTTCGGGCACATGCAAACTCTCCAAGACTTCGAGTCGTCGTTTAGATTTTTTTCTCAATCTTCCCCCCCCCCCCCATCTAGGCTCCACCGACGTTATCTAGGCAGTGAAAACTTCGGCCCTAACTCCGACGATGAGGGATGCGAGGAGAATCAACCGCGATGCAGACCTATTCAAAACCAAAAGTGGGTTCTGGGACGGAACCTGACCCCGATCGACGTCCGACATGACCGTATTCCCCCACGTGGGCGACCGATTGATAACAGTCTCCTCCGAAGGCGGAGATTCACCGGGAACCAAGCGAGATGTGCCGAAGCCCGGGCCCCAAGGGTAGATAATGGTTTATCCTCGCGGGACTCCAACGGATATGTCAACGTACAAAAGCTTCCGTGAACCATAACGCGATCCTCCGGGATTCTTTACCGGCCAAGCCCGTACTTCGGTCATGTTCCGCGAAACTCGACCTAGACCTCTACCCGTTGATGATGTCCCTGCTTACGAGCACGTGTCTCAATTGCCAAAAGGAATGGTCGAGATGTGTGCCAACTATCCTATAGACCCATGCAATTATTCCAAACAGGAGTGGAAATGACTGCCGGTTCTGGCCAATCTGGCGGAGAATGATGAGGGTCTGCTCCCATCGCTATTGCATGCGTCCTGTGGACTTGGTACAGTAAATTTCTCGACGTGTTGGCTGCAGATGACTGCCCGGTCCATGCCAACCAACCACCCTACAGATACTTGCTAGTCCCGCAAAGAGAGGATGCACCCTAATCATATAACCTGCTCAAGAGCTGCCCATTTTCCGCTGTGGTCTTAGACTCGTCGTACTACAAAACTTCACCATGGAGTCCATTCCTCAAGCAGAACCAGCTTCCGATATTGCCGACGACGCAGTTAAGAATGATGTCGGGATTTTGTCTACAGAGTGAGATGACGTTTCATCTCAGGAGCCAGGATCTCCGGTAAGAACTGCGGGAAAGCTTGATGTCCTCATTCAGGGCGTCGCTCTATTTTCGGACGGTTACAACATCCAGATCATCGGATACATGAACACTGTTCTGACGAAGCTGTAAGTCCGACACAATGGTTCCTGATCGCTCATGAAAAGAATTTAACTAAAATCCTCTTTAGTTACCCGAAACAAATGACGAGCGACGTTAAGACTAGACTGTCCAACTCAATCTTGATTGGTGACATATTTGGTATGCTGCTTTTCGGGCTCTGCATCGACAAATTTGGCCGCAGAGTAGGCATCATCCTGACTACCCTCTTTCTCGTCTTGGTCAGTATTGAAAGTCCGTGGCCAACACTAAAGTCCAAACTTGCTAACAAAGAATCAGGGTATTGTGATTGCAACGGTAGCGCACGGAGTCACCGTTGAAGGCATGTTTTGGATGATGGTTATTGGCCGTGGTATTGCTGGTGTTGGTGCTGGTAAGTGGACGACAAAATCTTGCTCTCAGGTGAAGGTTTCTCGAAGCTAACTATTTACAGGGCGGTGAATACACCTTTTGCACTTCTCAAGCTTTGGAATGCGCCGACAGTACCGAAGAAATGAGAAGGCGGCGCGGTATGCTGGTTGCCGTCTCTACCAATGCCGCTATCATTTCTGGATTTGTTGGATCTAGCATTGTCTCCTTGATCGTCATTGCGGCGTATAATGGCGAGCCCCGTGATGGAATATGGCGCATATGCTTTGGAATCGGCATCTTTGTGAGTTAAATATTCCATTGGTATCCAACCGGGCACTAACACTCCGACAGTTACCCTTGGTAATCTTCTTCTTCCGAATGAGGCCAGTCGACTCGCAGCAGTATCAGAAGCATGCTATCCAGATGAACGTCCCTTACTGGCTGGCAATAAAGTTTTACTGGAAACCGCTCCTTGGCTGCTGTAGCGCGTGGTTCCTCTATGATGCCGTCGTCTACCCTTTCAACCTGCTTGCACCTACGCTTGTATCCGGCTTCTCTTCTAAGCAGACCATGATCGAGTCTATCGGGTGGTCAGCTCTGATCAACGCATTCGCTCTTCCGGGCGCTTTCATCGGCGCCCTTCTGATGGACCGTATTGGACGCCGCTAGACTTACACTCTCGGGTGGAGCATCGTTTGTGTCTTTGGGTTCGCCATCGGTGGCAGCATGATCCAGCTCAACAACGTCTTCCCACTGTTCGTTACTCTGTATGGTCTTTTCCAGACTTTCCTGTCCGTTGGACCCGGCGATTGCAACTTTCTTGTGTCAAGCGAGTCTTTCCCTACGCCTCTCAGAGGACACTTCCTCGGCTTCGCGGCAGCCATTGGGAAGGTCGGTGCCGCGGTCGGTACCACGGCGCTCAGCGCGGCGCTGGCGGACTTTGACGACAAGTTGAAGGGGCAACAGACAATCTTCCTTATCGGCAGCGGCATCTCTGTGGTTGGCACCGTTTGTGTTTGGTTCCTTATTCCTGACGCAAGTTCTCCTCTCGATGATTACATAGGAGTTTTCAAACTAATGGTTTATATAGGCCCCGAAGCATCTGGAAGACGAGGACGTGCGATTCAAGAAGTACCTCGAAGCAAATGGATACGACACCAACCAAATGGGGCTGAAAGCCTGAGAATTCCTCTTTACCGAATGACAAGTTGCCAGACTCGTGGTAGAAATCCCCTACATCACTGACTGATCACCAGGGGTTGCGTCTTGGTCATAATAATAATTCCTCATTTCAAAACAGTTTACTGTATGAATTATGTACTTTAATTGAAGATCAAATATAGCTTGGACTCGAACCATCTACCTCGATGATGCACCGCCAATTTGTCTTCTCCACAAGTCCTCTTAAATCCCTCTCCTTGTCAGCAATTCAAAATGCGTGCCGCTCTCGGCTACCCTTCTCTCGTGAATCACCATTATCTTGTCTGCATTAACGACTGTTGATAGTCTATGTGCAATGATAAATGTCGTCCGTCCACTCTTCAAGACATCTAAGGCATATTGGATGCTTGCTTCTGTTTGGTATCAACTGCGCTCGTGGCCTCATCCAGAACGAGAATCGGAGGGTTCTTTTGAAATACGCGCGCGATGGCTAGTCGCTGGACCTCTCCGCCAGATAGCTTCATTATTTGCTCGCCAACCTTGCCCTCATAGCCATCGGCGAACTTGAGAATTTTTTCATGGATCGCGGCAGCCCGGCAGGCGTCGAAAATCTCCTCGCTGTCGCTGAAAGCCGTGCATAGCGCACGTTCTCCATCATAGACGCGTTGAAAAGCAATGGGTCTTGAGGGACAACGCCGAGAATCTCCTGAAAAGAATTCATAGTGATGTCACGGAGATCGTGGCCATCGATCGTTATCCTTCCCGATCTGACGTCGTAGAAGCGCAAAAGAACTTTCATGATCGTCGACTTCCCTGCGCCAGTCTCTCCAATCACGGCAATAGTTTCTCCCGGGACGGCAGAGATGTTAAGGTGGTGGATCGTTGGTCGCCTTGGGTCGTACGAAAACTCAACATCCGCGAAAGCAACATGGCCTTTTGTATCACTCAGGACCGTAGCGTTCTCTTTCTCAACAATGGTCGGCTTGGTTTGTAACAACTCGATGAGGCGTTCCGCGTTGACCAGGTTCCTCATCAAGTACCGATAATAGTAGGAAACAAACTTGAGAGGATAAACCAGAAGACTCCAATATGACAACAGCAATACAAAACCGCCAGTCGAGGCTCTCTCCTGAGAAATTTCATAGAGCACAAGACTTGCCAGGATGAAGAAGGCTATAGGAAACGTCGTTTCAAGGAGTGCTCGAATGAAAGCGCTCCAAACTTCATATTTGCGGGTGGCGGCTAGTTGCATGTTCATAGCTTGGCTGAATCGACGTTTCTCGAAGCCAAACATGTTGAAATATGAGAGAGTCTGCCATCCTTGGATAGCCTGGTGCATACATAGTTCGTGCCTCTTCTCTTTCAGCCTGACTAGATGCACGGCGGTTCGCCATATTGAGGTTTGAAGTAAGAATTTCTAGCGTGACGAATGCCACGGATGCTGTTAGCATGGTCAAAGAGACGTATGCGTTGAACTTCCAGTAGAGGAACCCAAGTGCTATGACCATGTCTACTGTCGTGGGAAGAAAGTTCATGACTCCAAATTCTAGTAAGGTTCTGAGTGAATCCCCCTGATGGATGGCCGTCATAACATCAGCTGAATCTTTCTCGGCGTGGAATTCCATTGGGAGGCTCATGACGTGGTTGAAAGCCGCGTTGGTGAGTTGGCGGTAGGAAAACTGCTCGATTGAATCTTGGCTAGTCCCTCGACCAAACCCAAGCCGGATTGGCCATTGATAAAGCTGAAAAGTAGCCATATAGCCAAGGCTCCGTGAGGGTTTTTTTTTGTTCAGAATCAAGTCGGTGATGATGCCAAGTTGGCGTGGTATCAATATGTTCATCGTTCTTCTGCCAGCAACGCTAAGAAGGCAGAGCAGGATGGAGAACTGAACCTTTTGGTCATTCTTTGGGACGAAGAATGGAATAAATATGGCGAAGTCTTTAAGATAAACCCACCAACCCCCTTTCTCATCAAGTTTCTCGGCCCGATGGCGCTTCATGCGAGCGCCTTCATCGTTGTTTTCGGACTCTCCGCTGGCGACCACTGTAGAGGATTCGTCTTGGAACATCTCGATTCCGTAATTGGCTTGCCTCCCATCGTCTTGGGATTGTTCTGAAAGGAATGGTCGACTTTCTTCAGAAGATCCATTGTCATGGGCGGGTCATCTTCGTCAAGTGGTACCAAGCGGAAGTAGCAAAACAACTATGATGCGGATCGATTGGAAAGATATTGAAATGATAGGTGACATCGTTCCAGGTCTTTCGAGGGTCAGCAAGACCAGCAATGGCACTTCAAATAACAAGGATATGCCGTAATTAGCCCACAGTGATTGTTGTTCTAGGTCTCGACTAAACAGGACTGAGGACCACCCAAGTACGGAGAGTAGAAGATGAACGAGATGAGCATGTTGGTTGTCGAAAGCATCTGATAGAATGATGCCACGAACGGCCTCCACCAAATATGTGCAGATGAGAACAAAAAATGACGATATGACTGGTGCTGTGTAACTCCGTATTGCTAGCCGTGCCAATGTGCCTGTACCCTGTCTCGAACAGATTAACGCCGTGATGGAGACTCCAAGAAGGACACTTAGGGCACACCCATAGTGCAGCGCTTGGCTAATCGTGAAGAGTGTTGCCATGGAGAATGCAATATTATTATCAAGTATCCTAAACAGGGTGAACATTCAAAACTTTCTAGAGGGAATCACGGTCATAAACAATACTCCATCGGGAGGTCAACGTGCGGGACCAGATTCAGATGTATAGAATGACTGACGTGGCATGTCAGACCGGGCACCGAATCAGTGCTGATGATTTTCCCCTGCAATTGACGAGCTGCCTGGAATTGGCCACAAGGAATATACTGCCTGCCCTCTGCTTATTCTTTGCTTACTTTCTGCCTACTTTCTGCCTACTCCCCGCCTGCGTTCACTTTCATTACGCGTAGGGTTTAACACCTCAACACTCGCACATAAGGCTGACTCCTTGGTCCGTGTTGCAAGACGGGCCGCTGATGGCCATTACGCAAGCATCATTGTGAACGCGTACCTCAGTCCGCTACTCGCTGCCTACTTTCTGCCTGCTTTCTGACTGCTCTCCGCCTGGTCTCTGCCTATTCCTCGGTATACACCTCATCTTACCCCCCACACAAACCTGACTGTAGTCCTGGGTATCTACATAACCAAGACAAACTAGGAAGCTTCTAAGCCTAAATAAGGAGATAAGCTGAGGTAGTGGCTACCTGCTCCCCCACTCACGGCGACCACAGTGGGTGAGTGCATTGATAACGAATCGCGCTTTCCAGAATTATACGTCAGGAAAGTTAGGGCGGCGCATTCTCTGCCATATGGGCTGTGGAAGGTTGCACTGAACTTATCTTATTCTAACTGACCTTCGACTACTCTTCAATTTTCTAGAGGCTTTTCTGAATGATCCAAATGATCAGATACCCCCTACAGTAGTCGGCAGTCCTAGTTACAAACTTACAATGTGTCGTTGCGAGACTCTAATGACTTTCGCCGACACCGGTAGTTTAATCAGCGGGCCGGCTGTGGGGACAGCGATTGACATCAATTAATCTTGTTTGCTTTGCTGTAACCACAACCGCCAAGAGGCGGGAACAAATCCAGGTCGGAACAACAATCCAGCTTGAACAACAATCCAGCTTGCAAAGCACTCTTTCTCTATTGCGTGAACAGTCTGATTTGGCCAAGTTTATGCTTTAATCCTGTCACTTACTATCCAAACTGAGAGAAACCATCTTCTGAATAGGGACAGAGAACAGAGCCGCTTCTTTAGGCTTATCCTGCCCGGCCAGCTCTTTAACTTTGGCTTGCCTCTCCATCCAGTCTTTCGCTCCATTATACATGCAGTTGTAGTCCATGAACTCGGCCGGATTCCTATTTGGAATTAGTCAGCGTGATTTCAGTCAAGCTCGGCGATGTACGGACATTGTAACGCTGTTGGTTGCTTTGTCGGTTGCCGGCTTTCCCGCCTGTCTGCTATATCCTTGGATGAGGGACACTCTCTCGAACCTGCACTCGAATACAGCCTACTTGCAATTAGTCAACCAGAAAGTATTCCATAGAAGGCTTACGCACCTTCAATCGACTCTCGACCTCTGCTGCTGTGGGCTTGTCTTCGATATCTCCAAGGATTGCCCCAAGAGCCTCAGCGTCTTCGATGGCCTGGCTTGCACCTTGTCCCTGAGTAGGGAGCATTGGATGAGCAGCATCTCCGATAATGATGGTGCGGCCCCGATGCCAAGTTTCCAACGGGTCCTGTGAGATTAACGTTAGCATTGTCTGTTTCGTATCTTCCTTGCGAAGGTATCAGTTGTGAGCTTTACCATGTCGCGCAGCTGCCAAAGGCCCACTTCGGTGCAGTTCTTGAACACTGCTTTTGCCCAGGTAGGGAACACCTCAAACGAGTCTCTCATCTTCTGTGGGTCACCCTTCGTAGTCCATGACTTTCCCTCTGCGGTCTCTTGCATCTTATCTTAATGTGTGTTAGATGTAACTGCAACAACTCGTACCAAACAGGTCGAACTCACCATCCGGAACCAATGCAACGACGCTATAGATGGACCCAGCTCGTGCAGGTCCCATTATTATGCGTCGGTCATGGCCCATGATCATGGTTGTGAGAGACTCTCGAGGGTCTATGACAGAAGTAAGGTCTTTGTCTTGCTCTAGCTCCGAGCTATCGATGACCAGTCGATATGCTTTCCACATGGGTTAGATAAGTTCAAATAGAGAATCAGTAACTTACCAGACAGCCCTGTCGGTACTGCAGCAACATCCTTCTCTAAGACTGATTTCCGGAGCACACTTTTACTGCGAGATTGTCAGAAGGGTCTTAGGAGCGTCTCGGAGGGAAACAACTAACATGCCATCAGCCCCGACGACGAGGTCTCCAGTAAAGAACTCTCCTGACTCGAGAGTAACAGTTCCGGCCTCTGGGTCACACTCTTTTACCACACATCCAGTCCGAATGACAACTGGCTCGACATCCACAACCTCTTTCGTGGCTGCTCCCCTCAGAGCATCGTGAAGATCAACCCTTTCCAGTCAGCGACACAGCCATAAAATCATTATTTTTGATAAATTCTCACCTATGATACATCATGCGGTCCTGGGATGTGCGTTAGCATATAGGTAATCGACCCGACGGAACTGAAGATCATGCACATACCGCGCCGTAACTCCTCTTTAGGTGGAACGGAATATCTGCATGCAGCTTTCCCTCAACACTATAGATACGAAACTACAACAATCGTTCTTAGTTGATGCAGCGGGCCGAATCGCGGTTGCAAGCTCACTCCTTGATCCGCCATGGACCCCTTTTTCGAGAGGGTTTCCTCCAGGCCCCATTGTTTCTCAACAATTCTGCGCGTGTTAGCCAACATAAGCGATAAATACATGTTCATCTTGTGGATTGAACGAACTTTGAAGCATTTGGTTGAAGCCTGATCCTATGTGAGTCACATCTGAATTTCACATCGAGGACGGGAATTGGAGACTCACGATATTGTCGCACCGATTTCTCTGTTTAGCTGACTTTGTTCAAGGACAGTGATACGCCGTTTGGGTCCTCTCAAAGAAATAGCCTCAGTTTGTAAGTAAACCCCTTGAAAAGGTTTATTGGACCAGTTACTACTTACTGCCGAGACCCCGGCGATACCGCCACCCACAACGATGATGTTGAACATTCTGCACGACTGCCTGGCGGAAACTTGATGACAAAGATAGGAATAAGTAGAAAGGTTCAAAACTCCCCTCATTTAACCCGGTAATTTTCCAAGATCAAACGATGCGGGATGGGTGTCTGATCAAACAATATGAAGCACGGCGCTAAGGAATGAACGATGTCCAGTTCCATCATCAACCCCGGCCAGATTTACGGACATGTTTCTCAATTGTTGCGGGTTGGTCCACTTCTCGGTCCTCTCCCGTGGGTTTGATGCGGGGAGGAAAGGTGGGGGGATTTTCCTGTTAATTTGAGCCGAACCGAACCGAGGAGTAAGCACCGGGCACCAACGGCATGATTCGGGAATAGATCCGGAAGGAATCCTGAGTCCCCGGACTTTAGAGAAGTAATTAGCTAATGGCAGGTGGCCAATGTAGCGACAATAGGTCTTCGCAGAACAAATTCAAATATGACCATGGAATGCAGTCCACGATCAAACCAAATCAGTCTCATTAACACCTTTGTTACAATTCAGAACAAACTCCTTTGAGTCCACATACCCTACCATGGCCACCACCACTACTGTGATCGAGAAGACGAGTGCTCCCATCAGGGCCGTCAATGATGGCCGTATGAAGATGGATGGCAACGATCCGGCCTATGGCGACTGGAGGGACGACCTTCTGCGAGATGGCTATGCTGTCATCAAGGGTGCCATCCCAAGAGAGCGTGCAGGCGCCTACGCAGGAAAGATGTACGCCCTGCTTGAATCATTGTAAGTTCAAATCCAAACAGTGCGTCGTTACGACCTTGGACTGACTCTATCACTCCAGCGGCCTTGGCTATGACCGCAACGACCCCTCAACTGTTCACCCGGACAAGCTTCCTGTAATTAACGAGAAGGGCATGCTGATGGCCTACGGTGCTTGCCACGAGGATTTCGTTTGGGACATTCGCAGTGAGCCTGAAGTCGTAGGAGCCTTTGAGAAGGTCTATGATACCGAGGACCTGCTCGTTTCCTTCGATGTCATCAACTATGGCTTTGCTAACCGCACCCACCTCCCCGAGAACAAGCCTTGGCCCCATCAAGACCAAGACCCTGAGAAGCCTGGCTTTCGCTGTCTCCAAGGCCTCGTCAACCTACACCCCTGTGGCCCGGATGATGGCGGGTTGATCGTCTGCAAAGGATCCCACACCTTGAGCGCCCAGTTCCACAAGGACCTAAAGGACGAGCCCCGCATCCCAGCTTGGACCAAAGAGTGGTATGGCTTCACGGAACGCGGTATGGAATGGCTGAAGGAACATGGTGGCGAGTGGCACAAGGTCTGCGCCGACCCGGGTGATCTCATTTTGTGGGATTCGCGCACTGCCCACTATAACGTTCCTGTCAAGAGCAACGTTGACCGCATGGCGGTATACACTTGCTTCATGCCAGTGGCGGATGCCACTCAAGAGGACCTTCTGCGGAAGAAGGCTGCGTACGAAGGTGAGTTTCCAAAATGATGACTTTTCATTTTCTCGGACTTACCAGCTAACGATTTTCTTATGCAGGCCGCCTTGGCACTACCCACTGGCCCAACGCCCAGCACACGGGTTCCAACGTCGCAACTCGCAACGGAAAGCCGGATCATGTTGTTCGGGCTTGGCCACTCAATGATAAGGTGCTTAGTGAGAGGGCGTTCAAGTTGACTGGGATTCCATACATCAAGGTGTAGCCAGAGGCTTAGCTACCGAATTCCCTTTTGGTATTCCGAAATTGGTTTTGTTGCTCCGAATGTCATGGTATCCATATCTTGTTTCTAGTACAAAGAATGAATAGTATACTGTAAGATAACCGTATATTCTTGTTACTGGGCTTTGTTTCCTCTTCATTTCTACGAATTCCACGCTATCGGTTCCCAGGCTCGCCAACATATCAAGTTTTGCGAGACGTCGACAGATGAACTGGGCGCGGGTAAACTGTGGTTTAGGCCTTTGGCCATTATTCAGATCCAGCTAGGATATATCAGGCATGCAAAACTTTGCTACAAACGTCGATGTCTTCCTGCACTGGACTGCGGATTGCAGCTCTATCACGGAAACCAGCTGTTTCGCATCCAGTGTTCTGGATGCGGCCGAGGTGTTGAGAGGTCCTGTTCTCAACGATTTTCGGTTCAACGACCGAACCGAGCCTTTTTTGACTGCCTTCTGGGGCTGAGACTAAGCTGAAGTTTGAGTGTCGCCACATCGTGGGGAAAGTCATGTCGGCAGCGGATCTGGGTCACTGCGGCGACGAAGAAGAAACAACACTACCTGATGTGGTTTCCGAACCGAATCACGGAAGCAATCTTAACAGTACGGAACGGCTGCCAAACCGAGGACCTAGTATCCCGGCAATCGTGAGGGGTTGTGACCATGCTATCTCTGGGCACATCCTTGTGTGCGTGGCTTCCCCACATCTGACTGGGTGAGACTGACATGCCGAACCGCACTAGTTCAGCCCAAGTCGGGGCCCCATCTCTGCACCCCAGACTCTCAATACCCCACGCGGAATCCGGGGTAGTACGTGGGAACTAGTTATCCAAAGAGATACGAGAGGTACGAGGGAGTTGATTTCAACCGAACTTGGCAAATAACAACGTGGACATTTGTCAGGGCTGTTGTTTCGCAGAAATAGACTCGGCCTCCCTGGGCATCTTCTCAGCCTTGATGGCAATACCTGACCAGCCTTTCAATTACACTTTTCTCCTGCGGAGAAGGTTGAGCATCTTCATTATACAATTTTTCAACCTGAAGTCTATGTCGAACCAGCCGGCGAGATCGTTTCAAATTTCAACATGGGCGAGATAGACAACAAGATTACCGAAGAGAGAGTTGAGTCAGCATCTGACTTATCTCAGAAGCCTCAACTTGAAGACGGTGACTTCACGACCAACAACATCCGCCTCTCTGATGGAGATGTCACCTACCTGATCCCGACCCCAAGTTCTGATCCACGTGGTATGACACGTTCTCTGTTGTTCTTTTTCCTATCAAAGCATAGTCAACACTAAGCTGACAATTCTACTATTTACCTAGATCCTCTTAACCTGAGCCCGTGGAGAAAATGGGTGAGCATCCGATTCCCGCCCAAAATATTCCAGAAGTCGAGCACGCTTTAACGTCTCTATCATATCTGCAGGTCGTAACAATGACTTGTGGCACATTCGCCGCCGTCGGTCTCGTCCAGGTCTCCGGTCTAGGAGCGCTCCTCGGTGATTTCATCCCGGAATACGCAGCTGAAGGAAGAGGATACGAGGACATCAGTCATCTAATGACTTATCCATCACTTTTCATGGGCCTAGGAAACCTGATAGGTATGCCATTGGCCCTTGCCATCGGACATCGCCCGGTATTCCTCGGTTCTTGTGCTCTCGCAGTCGTGGGATCAATTCTATGTGGCGCCCAGAAAGGCTACACGTCTCATCTCGTCGCTCGAATGATTCTTGGCTTGGCAGCCGGCCAGAGCGAGGCTCTCTGCCCCTTGATGGTGCAGGAAACCCACTTCCTCCACGAGCGTGCACGCTGTCTGATGTGGTTCACCGCTTATCAGTCGATTCTCAGTGCGGTCTACTCTCTTCTGACCTCGTACATCGCCGCGGGCATTGGTCCGTCCGGTTGGTATTACCTAGGTGCTGGTTTTTCTGCCATTACTTTCATCGTCGCCATTTTTATGGTACCGGAGACCAAGTACGACCGACCCCTCGCCGCCTACCAGGGACACACAGTCCAGGTGTCCCATTTTGTCAGCAGCAGTGGTCCTGGAACCGACGACACAACTGGTATTTATACTGAGATGCTTACGCGCAAGACCACCACGGAGCCCCGTCAGCTGGACTTTGTCAACTTCAAGCCCAGGTCCCTCGCTTCGGACATGCGTCTCTTCACCCAGAAGCCAGACTGGAAAGAGGGATGGCTGTGTGTCACAGGCATGGCTATTGTAGTCCTATTCCCCGACATGATCTGGGCGCTTCTGCTCAACGGCCTGACAATGTAAGAAACTGTACTAGCGATAGCTGGACCCCTTCTCGCAAAGTTTCAGTATACTGTCACTAACGTCTTTGTCCCGACAGCGGTGTTAACATTGCGCTTGGCACCACTTACGGAGGAGTCCTGGAACATGCCCCGTATAATTGGAGTGCATCAGTCATCAGCCTTGCAACGGCTGGTCAGATTGTAGTCGCCTTCGTGGCTCTTCCGCTCCTGGGCCGCGGCTCGGACTGGATTATCAAAGTCTTTGCGCAGCGTAACGGTGGTGTCCACAAGCCCGAGTACCGGCTCATTCCTCTCATCATCCCTCTGATTGTAGGAACAATGGCATCGGTCATTTTTGGACAGGCTGCCGAGCATCCCGAGAGATATCACTGGTTCGCTATCGTGTTCTCTCTCAACACCTACTACTTCGGCTTCGTCGGAGCCAATCAAGTCGGTATCACATACGCCCTCGACGCCTACCCGACACGCTCTGGTCCGGTACTAGTCATCATCTGCGCCATGCGCGGCGTCATTTCTTTCGGAACTAGCTACGGCGTAACGCCCTTCATAAACTCGGCCGGTTATGACGGCGCTTTCGGTATTTACGGCGCTCTTACGGCTGGAATAGGCGCCATGGGAATTTTTGTCTTTATATGGGGTGACCAGATCAGAGCCTTAGTCGCAAAGTGGGCTGTTGCGAAGCCTACCGCCAAGCCTTCTTACAATCATTAGTCAAGAGACTGATCTCCCTAGGGTGTTGTTACTTTAAGGCTGGGTTGAGGTGTGTGGGCGATTACGTTTCGAAATGCAGGAGGCTTCGGGAGGCCCCAATTCGGAATATGTATGTAAGAATAGGGGGATATTTGTTGAAGGGTTTTTTTACTTAATCTTCTTGATTGCACATGTCAGACGGCTATTTCATGAGAATATTGATATTCCCCCCCTTGATTACGGTTTTTTTGAAGATCGACAATATGAATTCACGTTTGTGCTTTTATTTACTTTGCCTCTATTGAAATGTAATGTGACTGCTCTATGCCCCTGTCGAGCCCTACGTAGTGGCAGCATGTGTGCTCAAGACGGCATGTGATGCTTCGGCTGCTGGAGATACTGTAGTTGACCAATGGCGAAAACGGTACACTGATAATCAATTAAGCTTCAAGAATCTAGCCTTTCGTCTGATCCTACCAACGTACCATTTCTGCTTAGGGCGTAAGTCTATTGAATAATGCGGTATTTGCAAGCTGCGATGACACGATGCAAAAGTGGTCCCACAGTTGTGACTCAGGACACAAGTTGCTTTAGGTTGAATTCGTCACAAGCCACTGTAGGTCCATAGTCCACAACACTACTTACACATGCTCATTCGCGTGCCGGTGAAGTAAAGAAGTCGACCTCCTCAAGGGCTTAGTCTTCAAGAACGGTGAACCATTCTACATTACAGCTACTCCTGCGTATCATTGTTCACAATAATCCACGTGTTTCAACGAGATAGCTCAGTCTTCCTGCTATTACGACGTCCATGGCCTTGCCCTCCGTGTCATGAGTGCTATCAATTTGTATGATTTGGGCACTGTATGGTAGTTCAATGTCTTTAGGGAGAAAGTCACCATGATCGTGACGCTCACAGCTTGCCGATTGATAAGGAGCATCCGTTTGCGGTGTTGGTAGATTGTCTGCCAACTTAGGTGGCATGCTCTTGGCACACCGTACATAGTTGCTCCTTGAACCATGGGGTTGTCATGGTACCTGCGTTGCTTTACCACGAGCCCAAGATTGCCTAAGTGGCCTACCGTATCTTGTGGTGCTATCTTTGCTCTAATTTCAAAATTTTGTTGTCACTTTTGTTTATACCCCTCCCCTCCTTACCGTCAAGTCATGTTTCCACTATTCTGCGCCGTAGGTACATGTACCATGCTTGACGTTCACCTGCGAACTCAGTCCATAGGGTAGATGCCCGGATATCTCCATGGCATTTATTCTAAAACCTAATATTGTATTAGGTTTTTGAGTATGGCACGTTTGCCGTTTTTAATTCGATTTTTATTTTTACGATCATGTACAGCCATTATTCGGTACCTGTGGGACCCTTTGTATTCGCACCTGAATGCTCCGTATCATGGTTGCCCTTTAATGTGACGATGTCCAGAACAGGTTAGCCGATTCCTAAGTATTAGGTGACTAGTGTTGAAGTGGTCTGACTTTGACAAGCAGGGGCTTTCTGATGACTAAAACTTCTGGGCAATAAAACGGTATTGATCCCTCTTTGCACACCGTTGCTGTTGTTATTGTTTAACGCCGCGACGTCTAATCTAGGGGCAAAAGGTGCCCACGCAGCTGCCTCGGGTACTTGCTATCTACATATATATAGAGTGGCACAGGAAAATAGAGCTAAAATACACAGAAGCAGCGTTTGACCTGTGTTAGGGTATTCGTAGGAAGACTAGAAGGTAGAGATATCAGTAAGGCTACAGTGTTAGTGCCAAGTCCTAGATCTACCTGCCTCTCCTGTTAGATTCCTTATCCTCCTTCTTAATAGTGCTTAAAAGGCAAGTTTCTACTAGCCGGAAGGCTAGTATTAGTGAAACCTAAGCGGAGAAATCCGAGTTCAGTAGGCGCACTACAGGCATGTTAAGAGGTTATAGCTAACAAGTTGATATCTTGTTGTTTAACTATAGCTAAACAGCTAAGAGGGTTTTTTTGCCTAGTTTTGTTGTTTCTCTCTTGAGTCATGCCTAAGGCTAAGAGATGTCGTTAATAGAAGCCCTGAACTCTCTAAAAAGGGCCTCTTTTTCGTTCTCGTGAAGAGGTTTTCGGTGGTGTGTGCCCTGCCCCTTGTTGCCCATTGTTGGCAACTTCTGTATTAATCAGTAACAGAGGGGCCCGTGCACCCATGGGTTGCGAAATAAATAAAAGGGAGAGTTGCCGTCATGAAGTCTCTTTCCTATCAATGTACATACACAACTTCTCTTGTCGTCCATCTCAGACCACCTTACTTCAGTCCAAACACACACACACACACCCACACACACACACACACACACACACACACACACACACACACACAACTCTCAACAATGGACACCGATGATCTGTCTGTCGCCGCCAGCAGCACGGCGGAAATCCCGGAAACCAACAGAAAAGTCCCAATGCTATCAGATAGCAGCAGACGACTCTACTGGACGCTCAACGGTCCTCTCGAGAACTCAATCCAGGTCGCCCCCAACCGTTACTACGAGCCAGGTGACGTTATGGAACCCTACTTTCGCCCTGGTGACGCAGTGGCTGGTATCTCGCCGAGCTGGCACCCTGTTTCACAAGAGTCTCTCATGGAACCCCCGGTCACCGCCATCACCGTCCGAATCGAGTGCATGGACGCGTTGGAGGATGTTTGGGTCGAGCTTAATCGCGACTACACCGACATCAACACTGACCCCCAGCAACCGCGGGCTAAAGACGTCCAGCTTGAGGTGACAACTAGTGGCGAGTTTCTCACGATCCACGATTACGTCTCCGCCGTGCACCCGTGGCTTATAGGCCTACGTGAGAGGATTATAGATACGCTGCACAGGTACGGCGTTAATGGACCGTGGCGGCCCGAGGCGAAGCTTCTCGTTCGGCAATTCGGTTTTAGGCCAATAGATATTGGGAGAGAAGATATGGATTGGTGGGTTTTGAGGCACCAGAAGCCTAGGCCAATATCTGAATTATCTGCATTCCCCCTGAGTATGGCCGAGCGTGAGGCGGCTCATCTGCGAACTATAGAGAGGATGAAGGCGAGATCCGCGGCACGAATCCTCGAGTTACAGAGGCTCCGCCAAGAAGGAAATAATTGATACACGCCAGTTTTCGCGATCTATGTATCACGGTACTAGTTCATTTCTCCTACTTTTCCTATTTCCCTACATTAATGAGGACAAATGATGTTCAGAGTTTTTTGGTCATCTATTGCAACCGCTTTATTGACGACTTTCACCATTAGTTTTGCTTTGATTTTTGCCTCAGCTCTTGTCACCATTAGGGAATTAAGTTATGAATCGCCATTTTCATCTACGACTCTTCTTATCTTTTGCCCTGACTTTTGCCTCAACTTTCGTTACTTTCAAAGGAGCTAGTAATACTTTCACCCTTTCTCTTATTACAAATTCCACTCTAAGTTTCACCGCGACCTTTGTACTTTCACCCCATCTTAGCAGTACTTACAGGCACCTGGTGGGCAGTATCCGCGACTGCAAGTAAACTCGCAGAGGTCCTCATAATACCCCAGGTCCTCCGTGATATTGTCAGCTGGACAGCCGTGGCGGCCTGTTTGCTCTGGTATACCGACGGCTGGCTCTGCGGCCGGCCCAGTGCAGACGCATGCGCCAACGAGGCAGTGATTGTAGTCGCAACTGTATGAACACAGGCCCTTCAGGTTATCTGTGATGCCTGGCGCGTTCGAGCCGCCGGTGCAAGCAGGGGCAGGGGCCACCGTGGAGGTACTTGTGGTTGCAGTGATGCCTAAAGTCACGGTTCCTGGAGCGGTTAAAGTCGAAACGGCTGCAGACGTGGATACAGCAGATGTCGAGTTCGAGGCACAGATTCCAAACGCGTCCTGGCTTTGTGAACGTCAGTTTTGCCACATAGCGAACACCCAAGAAAGGTATTGAAGACTCACCACCCCCGCTCGACATAACAGTCGGCCGGCTTTTCGCAGCAGACGCCGTTCACGTTGCAGCATCTCCCCCACTCGGCTGAGCACCTCATTCCCTCCGTGCCGCCGCAGGTGCCGTCTTTTGTCCACTTTGTGCCGGCCGGTTGCTCGTCCTGCTTCCAGACGTCGCAGTCGCCACTCTAGCAGGTGAAGATGCCGCAGGAAGCGTCACCAGTGCCACACCGATCCTCTATGCTACAGCAGTTTCCCCAGTGGCCGGCACAGTCGCGCCAGCCGTAGTTGTAGCCGCACGTACCGTCGGTGCTGTAGATATGGTCGCCATCACAGATGCCCTCATAGCAGATACCGGGGGCGCAGTCCTCGCTGCGGCACGTCAGTTCTGGTGTATTAATCGTTTAGGGCATCTGAATCCATACGCAGAATCACCACAAGTCCACGTCTCCGAGTTGCAGCACTGCTTGTCAGTCCCGACGCAGGTAGCGTTGTTATGGTGTGGGCCACACAGGCCGTCAAAGGCCCTAATAGGCTCAATAACTGTAGTGCGTTGATATTATGTTAGTTTGGTCTTTAATTCTTCACATATCTGACGGAAATTCTAAATCAGACCCAAATACCACGTCGGACGGGAACTCACATCCTTCGACACAATACTCAGTCTGGGGTTGGATGTTGCTGCAGTCCTTGTCCAATTCAGGGTTCAGGAAGAAGAATTGCTCGACAGGCATCAGATAGCGCCGGGCCAGCCGCGAGCATGTGTAGTAGTCGACTTCCTCGGGCGTGTTCGTCCAAAACCGACAGTTGATCTCGCCCGGGTTGACCACCAAGGGTTCGCCCTCGGTCGGACCGAGGTCGACGGAATCGTCGACGGAGGCGATGCGCATGGGTGAAAGGGAGTCCCAGGTATACGGCTGGCATGAATTCGCGGAGATGTGCGGGAAGAAAAGAGAGGAGACAACTGCTAGCCAGAGGCCGGCGCGCGAGGATGTGACACCGAGATGGAATAACTTCATGCTTTTCTCTCGTGCTTGGGAAACCGATGATCGGGTTACAGCTGTAAGGTGGAAGATTGATGTGTATCCAAGTATCGCAGAAGGCAGCTACATATAGTGGCCTGCGTACATGCCACAGTGTGACAACTGGGGTGTTTACAGGAGGGAGTCCTGACTCTATTGATCGTCGGAGGTTCGGCTTCCTACCTGGACGAATATCCGGATCCCCACTGTAACTAAGAGGGTCTAGCCAGAGCCATTTGACTCAATCTCTTGTTGAGGCGAAACCGTCCGGTATGGGCCGTGGTCGCTGCCTATTTTCATCTCGTGTCCTGTACGAGCGGTAAGGGCGCTAAGCACCCCTGAGTGTCACCGCCAACAGGCGTACAGAGTTTTGCCATTTTTCTCTTGTTGATTGGTGTTTGTCGTTGGCAATATGGATGCTCAGGATAAAGCCGCTGTTGGAGTTGGTGATGTTCAGCCGAGAGCACGTACGATGCAGTACCATGGTACCTAGGGATAATAGTGCTACAAGGATCCCATGAGATGATCTCTAGCCCTATCTCGCCAGAAGAAGTTACTTTTCTAGATTTTACTTTACCTTATTTATACTTAAAAAAGGTTTTAAGGATTTTTAATAACATAAATATATAAAAGATTTAAAGAATTATTATTAACCCTAGGTTTTTTTATTTTTTACTTATATAAAACATAAGCTTTATATATAATTACTTAAATCTTAAGGAAGTAACTTAGATATAAGGCTTAAAATATAATATAAACTTAACCGTAAGTTTAACTATAATATAACTATAAGAGATATAAAATTATATATATATAAAGATACTTTTATTATCTATAGAGAGCTATACTCTATATATGTAATCTATAGACCTATATAGACCTATGAGGAGTTATTCTCTTAGAGGTACTTAACCTCTAAAGAGTATTAGTATATTAATAAGTTAAACAAGGTCTAGATTTAGGTAGTAATAGAAGTTATTCTAAGACAAAATAAACTAAAACTAGCTTTAGTAAAGCTATAGTAAGCTAAGGTTTTAAAGTACTAATAACTATATAACTATAACTATTATAAAGGGTTACTATATATATATTATAAAGGGTTAGTATATATACTAATATAGAAGAGTCTAGTAAGTGTTATTTATTACATATAGAAAAGAAAAAACAACTAGAACTAGTTTTTACTCTCTAAGTCTTCTAATAATTATATCCTTATACTTATTTCTTTTATATTTCTATATACTATTTTACTTATTTATTTACTGTTTACTCTTCTATCTATATAACGTTTATTATTAATACTATTACACCTTTAGCTAATTACTATACTTTACACTAATATAGCTCTAAGTAAACAACTTATAACTAACTAATTAATAAAGATAATAGGCTTTATAATATAACTATTATTAAGTCTTTTTACTTCTACCTAGGATTAAACCTAAGAGCTCTAGTATAAGTTACTATCTTATACTATATTATTAAGACAAAGGTAATAATACTTAACTATATATACTCTACTTCTAGTTATTTATTTAATAAGTAATTAACGTCTATTATTACGCTACAGAATGCTTATTCTATAGAGGATTTACCCTGTGGTTTATAGGACATTAACTAGCCAATGGCCGGCCAATGCCCCAGGAATATTGGAAACATTGACGGGGAATTCTCCAGGAATTCTCTAGGAATTCTCCAGGAATTCTTAGAGAATTATTTAGCCGTTTAAACCTAGAAATTACCACTATTTATAGACAAATTCTCAGACTATTTAGAAAAAAGAGAGGCATTAAATTTACAATTAATATATTTATACTAAAGTACAACATCTATATAGTAAGTAAAAGTAACTAAGGTTCTAGTTCTTAGCTAGTAATAGTAGCTAATTAACTATATACTAGTAGATTAAATCTATAAATATCTTTAATTTAAGAGAGTATATTAAAGTATAGGAATTAGTAAAAAGTAAATATTAGTAACACTAAGGGATAAGTTAATATAGTTAACTATATATATTAGTAGTAATTAATAAATAATAAGGTAACTATAGTTCTCTATTATATATAAAAAAAAGAATAATTATTATAGGTTAGTTAG